CTAAGTAGCTGGAACTACAAGTACGCACCACCACACCCCACTAATTTGTTTGTTTGTTGTTGTTGTTGTTGTTATAGAGACGAACCCCCAGACTCAGGCAATCCTCTTGTCTTGGCCTCCAAAAATGCTGGAATTACAGGCTTGGCTCACCACGTCCAACCTCAGTGTTTTTTATTCTGGCCACTTCTACAGTCCAGCTGTGCACAGAAGTCTATAACCAGAAGGAAGCCCAGGCAGGGAAGTGTTCACCACATTCCTGCCTTTCATCAGGGTCATGTCGGGTGGAAGTGATGTTTGGGAGGATGCATCATGCCATGCCCATCCCACCAGGCCTGGCCCCACTGTCTTCCAAAATGACTACATCATTTTGGGTTCCTACCAGCAGTGAATGAGAGTTCCCGTGGTCCTATGTCCTCCCCAGCACTGGGTGTTGTCATGTTGCCTCTGAATGTTCCCAAGCCCCTCTTCCTGCTGCCCTCCCACAGGTCCCAGTCCCTAGGCCCTCATGGGTTATGGAGAGCAATTTTTACCATGTGGGATGATTTTGTTTGCTGCTGTTCATGACCTGGGGAACCATCTGGGTCGTGGCCCCACAGGCCCTAGTCCAGTCCAGAGCTTGGAGCCCAGTACATGGTGCTGGTGGCTCCCTGGTGCAGGAGACCTTGGTGGCTCTGTCATCTTCTCTCTGGAATCACTACCTCTACCCTGGAACCTTTCCATTCTCCCTGGGATGCCCAATCTCTCTTGATTTCCCCATTTCCCCTGGAACCCTCCAGTCCCCATAGACCTTACTTGAGGCCATAGCACTCCCAGAAAATAAGATGGTTTCAAGCCGGGCTCGGTGGCTCAGCCTGTAATCCCGTGCCTTGGGAGGCTGAGGTGAGTGGATTGCCTGAACCCACGGGTTCGAGACTCGCCTGGGCAACTTGGTGAGACCTCATCTCTACAATAAATCAAAATTAGCCAGTTGTGGTAGTACACGCCTGTAGTTCCAGCTACTTGGTTTTGTTTTTTTGTGTTTTTTTGAGTTGGAGTCTCACTCTTATCACTCAGGCTGGAGTTCAGTGGCACACTCCCAGTCACCGCAGACTCCAACTGTCAGGCTTAGGCGATCCTTCCACCTTAGTCCTCCAAGTAGCAAGAACAGTAGATGTACTCCACCATGCCTGACTAGTTTTTGTGATTTATTGTATAGACCAGGTCTCATCCTGTTGCCCAGGCTTTTCTCGAACCTGTGGACTCAGGCAATCCTTTCACCTCAGCCTTCCAAAATACTGGGATATAGGCATGAACCACCGTGCCTGGCTGATCCTCTTTCTCTTTTTTAAGTCACACCTTTAACATCTTGCAGTCTTGTCATTATCCCATCTGAGAACTTACTGCTGGAGGCTCTCCTTTCCCTGTTCCCATCCAAGTGTCCTCTTCCTAGACCTAAGGTGGAGTCACTATCTCCAGACCTCCCTTCTTCCTTGCATTTCTTGCAGTGTATCCTGAACACTGGACACAATGTTTTAGTGTTTTTTATTTCGCATTTATCACGTTTTGCTAGAGAACATCTGTAGTGAACTTCGCAACAAAGAGTGCCTGACATGAACTTTCTGATTCCTTGAATACTCTAAAAAGTTCTTAATTTGTTCTCATCATAGTAACAATTTGGCAGTAACAGGATTTTTTTTGCACCGGAGTCTCACTCCATTGTCCAGGCTGGAGTACAGTGACACAGTCATGGCCACTCCAGTGTCGACCTGCTTGGCTCCAGCGATCCATCTGCCTCAGCCTTCCAATTAGCCAAAACTACAGGTATGCACTACCACACCCCAGAATTCTTTGTTGAAAGTGCTTTTTCCCTCAGAAATTTAAATATAAATTATTGTTTTTTAACATTTGATGTTAATTAAGGTGTCATTCTGATTTTTTGTTATTGTTAAGGTCCTACTCTGTTTCCCAGGAGTGCAGTGGCAAAAATCACAACTCACCACAGCCTTCACCTCCTGGGCTTAGGCTATTCTTCTCCCTCAATCTCCTTAGTAGCTGACACTACAAGTACACACCACCATGCCTAGCTAATGTTTTTATTTTTATTTTTGTAGAGACTGGGTCTCCCTGATGTGGATATTTACAGTCGACCTGGGCTATGAGAGTGTCAACTCAACGGGTCTGTCAGTCAAGCCCCAAGAGGGTCATCTTGAGGGGCTGGTAAGTCTAGCCCTGGAAGTATTGGCTCTAATGTGCTGGCAAGCCAAGCCCTGAGAGTGTTGCTGGTTCAGTGGGCTGACAAGCCTAGCACCAAGTGTATCTAGTTTCAGAGCCTTGCCATCTTCCAGCAGCTCTCCTGTTTCAGCCAGCTTTGTGGCCTGGCATGTCAGCCTTGGGGTGCATGGCTCTTTGGCTCCGATGATCTTCTGCAGCTCTTCAGGGTTGAGGTTCTTGTCTCATGCCAAGGAAGAATGAGGTACATGGACAGTCCGAAAGTGAGAAGGTTCCCATAGTGGTAGGGTACCCAAAGTGGTTGCCCATTTTGAGGTCAAAACCTGGTGTTTTGTATAGCCCTAGGTCCAAGCTGATTGAATAGCACTAGCTGTAAGCTGTAGTTATTCTAATTGATCAATATTAAGAACCAATCAGCAGGAGGCAGGGGTCTACTGGTGAGCTGATAGGTTGCTTTTTGATCCCAGCAGTGAGGACTTAAGCTCTAGCTTGAGAGGCTTGCAGGGAGCTTGTTTACCAAGGCTGAGACTGAGAAGCCTGCCAGGAGTTCATTACATTGTTACCAGAGGACCTGTCTGTCTGAATAGCCTTTCTCTAGCTATTCCTGTCTCATGGCTATGTTTTTTTGTTTTGTTTTGTTTTGAGTTGGAGTCTCACTCTGTCGCCCAAACTGGAGTGCAGTGGCCGCTCCCGGCCACCGCAGCCTTGACCTGCTAGGCTCTGGTGATCCTTCCGCCTCAGCCTTCCCAGTAGCCGGAATTACAGGCATGCGCTACCACGCCTGGCTGATTTTTTGATTTATTGTACAGATGAGGTCTCGCTGCCCAGGTGGGTCTCGAACCTGTGGGCTCAGAAAATCCATTCACCTCAGTCTCCCAAAGGTGCAGGATTACAGGCTGAGCCACCGAGCCTGGCTATGGCTATGTTTCTTAGGCTTGTCTCCACCTCCTGTGCTCAAACAACCCTCCCACCTTGGCCTCCCAATGTGCTGGGCCTGATGTTTACTTTTTGCAGATAATCCTATTTTTTCCCCAGAAACTTTAAGTTCTTTTCTTTTTCTTTCTTTTTTTTTTTTCAGAGACAGGGTGTTACTCTCTCACTCAGGCTGGAATGCAGTGGCGTGATCATAACTCACTGACTGCAACCTTAAACACTTGAGTTCAAGCAATCCTTCTATCTTGGACTGCCAAAGTACTGGAATTAAAGATATGAGATACCATGTCTGCTATGCCCTCCTTTTTTTTTCCTTGGTGTTCTGACATTTTGCAATGATGCTCCTAGATGTGGGGTTTTTTAATGTATCATGTTGTAAAGCCTTTCAATTGAAAGAAGAAGGTCTGCTTTAAGTTCTTAGCATTTTTGTAACATTCTTTGATAATTTCTTTGATAACTTCCTCCTTCCATGTTTTTAGTTTTCTCTTTGGAGCACAAATATTATTTGGCTATTGGAATGCTGAGACTAATCTTCAAAAAAAGCTAACTTACTGGTTTTTTTAGTTGGAGTCTCATCTTGTCACCCAGGTTGGAGTGCCAGTGACATGCTCATGGTCACTGCAACCTCGACCTGCTGGGCTTACACGACCCTTCCACCTCAGCCTTCCAAGTAGTTAGAACTATAGGTGTGTGCTACCACGCCCAGCTTAATTTTTTATTTATTGTAGAGATGAAGTCTCACCAAGTTGCCCAGGCTGGTTTCCAAGCCCCGGGCTCAGGCAATCCTCTCTCCTCAGCCTCCCAAAGTTCTGGGATTACAGGCTGAGCCACCGTTCCAAAAATGAACTTAATTTTTTTTCTTTTTGAGTTGGAGTCTCGAGGGCCCTGACTGGGGCTTCCGGATTCACGATCCACTGTTGGCCCAAGGGGACTCGTTCACGCTGTGACGGAGCCTCCGTTTAACCTTGGGGGTGAGAGAAGGATGGGGCCAGGACCAAAGATCCCCCCAAGTCCCACAAGGGCCCGCCTGGGGATCGGACAGTCCTCACAACCCTCTCGGATCCTGAGCACCTGGAGAGCGGGGCTGTGTGGAGAGGGCTCAGCGGTTGAGGTCGCCACGGGGACAAGACCCTGGGTTCCCGATCCAGTGCCACATGCACCAAGGGAACCTGACTCAGCCGACGGCGAGTCCAGGCTTGGAGCTGCCAAGGAGGCCGGTCCCACAACTGGGTCATCCGGGTCCATCCTCCTTCCCCGTCTTGGGACACCCGCCCGCACACGCACCATCTACCGGCTTCCGGGTGTCCTGGCGTCCTCCCTATGGATCTCCCAGGGCCCGCAGGTGCCAGGGCAACAGGGCCTGCGACAGGGCCACCAGGCCTCGGGACTAAAGAGCGGGACGACTTAAAAGCCAAAGCCGGGTCGGAGTCCGGAAGCCACCCCCTTACTTCCGGTTGACACTTGAGTGGGGTCTCAGACCCCACTGTCCGCTGATTGGATCAGACTCCAGGCCCCACCCTCTAGGCTTGAGTAACTGAACCAGGGATCAGATGGGGCCTGCATAAAGCAAGAAAGTCACGATTTTCCACATGGCATTTTGAGACTGATATTTCTCCCTGCACTATCACCTAGTCATGACCAAGGCCATTCGCTTATGACATGGTTTTAGTAGTATATCAATTGATGAACAATATTTATTTATACAGCTCAGCCAGGCATGGTGTGGCTCAAGCCTGTAAACCCAGCACTTTGGGAGGCCGAGGCTAGAGAATTGCATGAGTCAGGAGTTCGACATGAGCCTGGGCAACTTAATGAGGCCTCTTCTGTGCAATAAATCAAAAAACCAAACAAAACACACATATATAATATACATTTATTTATACAGCTCGTACAGGTATATGTTATGCAGGAATGGAAACAATATATAGACAGTTATAATAAGTTTCAGATTTTATGGTCTTTCAGGCTTTTGCTCTTATAAGGAGGCAGCCTGAGCTTTAAAAAGGGAGGTAGACCTCTCTGGCAGCAATGTTCAACAGAAAGAAAATGGCATTCTTCAGTCATTTAAAATGTCCTGGAAAAAAAGGAAAAGAAAGTAGTGAAATTAATTGTGGTAATTTGCTTAATCCAACATACTCAAAATAGTATCATTAGCCTATGGCTACCACATTAACGTGCAGTTGGGAGGTTTCCTACTCCCCTGATCTCAGAGAGGTGAAGGACCTGATCCATTATTTTCTGCCAGAGTCAGAGAAACACCCCCTTTCTACCATCATTTCTCCTGGGACCCAAGAATAGGAGAGAAGATGCCTGAGAGAAAACAGTAGCTACAGACAGAAATGTCCATGGGTAGACCACTGCCTCACATCTACTTTTTTTTTTATTTAGAGTCTCACTCTGTCACCCAGACTGTAGTGCAATGGCCAGGAGCAGGCTCAGGCAATTCACTCACCTTGGCCTCCCAAAGCACTGGGAATACAGGCTGACCCACCGACCCTGGCCACATCTACTTTTTAAATTAAATTTTTTTGAATTTGAGTTTCACTCTGCTTAGGCTGGAGTGCAGTGGCACACTCATGGCCACAGCAGCCTCAACCTGCAGGTCTCAGGCAGTCCTTACGTTGCAGCCTTCCAAGTATCTGGAATTATAGGCACATGCCACCACGCACAGCTAATTTTTTGATTTATTGTAGAGATGAGGTCTCGCCAAGTTGTCCAGGCGGGTCACAAACCCGCGGGCTCAGGCAATCTGCTCACCTCAGCCTCCCAAAGGCGCCGGATTACAGGCTGAGCCACCGAGCCTAGCTGCCCAGCTAATGTTTTAAGAAATTTATTGTAGAGATGATGTCTCACCAATTTGCCTGGACTGGTCTCAACCTTAGGCTCAGGCAGTCCTTTACCTCAGTCTCCCAAGTGCTGGGATTGCAAATGTGAGCCACTGCACCGAGCCCATCTCCTTTTTTATGGAGACCCACTCCCCTGAAGACCAGACATGAAGCAAGGACATCAAAATGCTCACATTTTAATCTCACAAATAAACCCATAAAATCGTCCCCTCTTTTAGGAATATATATCCACAATTCCCAGAAAATACCTTTGTATGTCTTGGCAGGCAATTTTTTTTCTACCAGAGACAAAACACTGCTGAGATTTTTTTTTAAAACATAGGTTCATTTTGCCTGAAATTATACAATATGTCTTATTCTATGCCCCGTTGAGTCACTCAGCATGATGCTTCTGAGACTCACCAGGTGAGTGCCTGAGGAGTTTGCTCCTTTGAATTTCTGAGGACTGTTGTATTGTATGAAAGACCTACAACCTGTTCATCTATTTCCCTATGATGGACATTTGAGTAATTTCTGTTTTGGCTATCATAACTAAAGTGTCTGTGCATATGCTTGAAAAATATATTTTGTATGAAATTCAATTATTGTATTAGAATTTAAATGTTGCTGGGCTCGGTGGCTCAGCCTGTAATCCTGTGCCTTGGAAGGTTGAGGTGAGTGAATTGCCTGAGCCCGTGGGTTCGAGACCCACCTGGGCAACTTGGTGAGACCTCATCTCTACAATAAATCAAAAAATTAGCTGGGCGTGGTAGCGCACACCAGTAGTT